AAGACTGGATTATCAACAAGCGTCACAATCTGTCGGTTTGGACAATCAGCAGCAAAATGCCCGAATCCCTGACACTTGAAATATCGCTTGGCTGCAGTTCCTCCCCTGCTAGTTCCAGTACTACTCTGCCCCTCCTTGGATGCAGGTTTAGAACTCGCATCCTTAACTGCGACTAGTGTCAAATTTGCTGCAGATGTTCCCACTTTTCCTCGGGATTCTTTGCCTGACCAACGATTCTGAAATTTGGAATTCACGTTCATCCTTTTACACTGACCTTCCACCTTCAAGGCCAACCTGCACACATCCTCATAGGTCCAACATTGCTGTAATTGGACAACATTAGAAATTTCATACCGCAAGCCTGCCAAATATCGAGCAATTGTTTGCTCGTCTTCCTCAACCACATCACAATGCATCCGCAAACGATCAAACTCCTCGGTATACTGCTCGACCGTTAAATCTCGCTGCTTAGTGTTGTGATACTCAATAAATGCCTCCTGCTTATAATGAGTAGGTAAAAATTTCTTTTGCAACAATTTCTTCATCTTATCCCAGTGGTTTACTTTTGATTTCCCCTCTCTAGCACGCTGCCTTTTCACATGCTCCCACCATATCGAGGCATGTTTTCGTAGCCTAATAGCCACTAATTTAACTTTCTGCTCTTCAGTCAGATCGTTAATATCAAAGATCCTCTCTGCTGTATGTAACCAATCAATAAACTCATCAGGATGAGCCTTACCATTAAACTCGGGAATCTTGATCTTCATCCCGAAAATTTGCGAAGAACGCTGATTTCTAGGTCATACTCCTCGATTGCGCCTCTGGTTCGGAACCTCGAAAGGGTTTACGTCCTCCTCTTCATCATCGGATGGATCCTCAAATTCTGCTTCTTCTTCGGATTGAACGCCCAACCTCGCCTCTGCAAGTTGTCGCTCCAAATCCTAGATTCATCTTCTCTGTTCTTCAATTTCCACGTCTCACAAATCTCTTAGACGTGGTTGGTCGTCTGCTTCAGGAATGCCTCCACGCCCCCGGCCACCACGAGCCCGCCATCCATGACCGCGATTCTATTTAGCCATTGATTCAAGCAACCTGTGCTCTAATACCAATTGATGCCGAAACGCGAAAGAAAGATTGACTGAACAAGAAAATTCAACAGAAGAACAATTCGTCCTCCAAGTATGATTATCAAATCAAAATATCCAAAGTTTGATTAAACAAAACCCTAAAACAAGCTTATATATCCCCAAACTTAACCCTACTAGGATTAGTAAACATCAAAACGTAAAATTACGAAACTGCCCTTTACTAAATTAACCCATAAAAAATACTAAAAATAAATAAAAACCCATCTAAACGACCCCGAATCGCGAAAATCTATCGTTAGTCATGGCTGTGAGTATTGATCAGCACGCCGTTTCGCTTCAATCGATCAAATTTGAGCTCAATCCGAGATCGTTGACTTCGAGCCCATCGGTTCGTCTAGTTGCATAACGGTTCCACTGGTCCCCTAGGTGCATCAGCGACTCTAAAGTGGGACATTTGAGCTTTAATTTGGAGTGCGCATCCATTTAACTTCTTCAAATCCGATTTTGACAAGCTTTTGGCCTCATCTGGATGCAGTTCCATATTGCCGAGGCAAGAAATTTCCGAAAATACATAACCAAGGAACTGAGTTTAGTGTACAGTTTCTAGGCTTGAAGAACCTACGATGAACACCCTCGTTCTCACCACCAACTACGTACAAGCAGTTGTTTATGACACATGAACCAAAGAAATGCCGTCTCCGAAGCATGTCGGGGGCACAGTGCCATTTATTTGTCCTCGCATTATAAAAAATCACTTGTCTCATTGAGCTCTTTCAGTGGGTCTTGACCTTAATGCGGCTTAATTGCCGGAGAAAGGTAGTAGGAGAGTGATAGTTAGCTAAAGAGTACAGAAGAGTCCTAGAGGAAAGGACAAGGGGGAAGAGGGGATCATAATCGATCACTTGCATAAACTGAGTCACAAGAATGTATCTGTCTGGAACATGAAGGGGCTAATGAATTTGGTGCGGTATGGGAACCTCACGACACTAGATGAGTAGATATCCGGTGATGATGATGAATCTTCGAAGCAAAAAAATAGCGAAAGTGAGGTGAGAGGTATGGCGAAGAAAATTTTCCAAGATGTGACTTAGCAGGGATCCAGATGCGCCTCATTATTGTGATCTTTTAAATTTTTTTGTTCTACTCTTTCCTTGTCCTAATGATCCCTAACCGTGTCATCGTCTTGGCCATATTAAGCCTTTATATTACAGTAGGCCAAACTATTCGAGAAGAAGCCCCGAACTTTATCTTATCAATCAATTTTGGCATCATTTTGTAAAATTATTTTCGGAGCTGAATAGTCTGCTCTGCTAAAATTCAAAACTACCCATTCTCCATTAATCCATGCCGTGTCTTTCCATTTATGTTCTCTTTGTATCTCTATCAGCTCTATAAACTTCTTAGTCACTAGTCTAGTTTTTTATCGGTCTTTTGACTTGCTGTTTCATGTCGGGCACATATGCCTAGAGGACTTGATGCGATTTATGCCAGAAGATGAGGCTGTTAAGACAACGAGTCTACTTGAAAGAGTATCTGAGAGCCAGAAAATTAGCAAATCATCCTTAAGAGCTGGGTGGTAATAGATCATAGAAAGTATCTAACGTTGTTGTCTTGACTCTTTTAGCACTTGATTGAAAGGTTGGTAGAAGTTAAACGAGGTCGTGTATAAGAAGAAGGAATGAATAACAATGTAATTCTGAGGTAAATCATGGGATGTTGATATACAATTAAGAGATAACTAATTGTGACCTCATCTGTGGTCCTTGACAACCGACCAGCCTAAAAGTATCCAATTCGCCACAATGGGAACCTCTCAGCCTTTGTGTCTAGGATTGCATTTAAATGGTCATTTAAGGTTCAATGAAAATGCAGCAATTTGTTCAATGTCTCACCAAAAGTATTAAGCAAGATAACTTTTTATCGTATAAAATAAAACCTTAGAAGGCGCCAGTTGTTATAGATTTAACATATATTAGTCTAACTTGTCGAACCAAAGTTCAACAGATTAATCTCTAGAAATCTAGTTAGTTTAGTGGCTGTTAAGGTAATAGATCCTGCTCTTGATGTGAAAGGATGAATAATTATTGCTAGTTATGAGTGCTCATGAGCAAAACTTCTTATTGAATTAATATTTTCAAAGTTGGGTCAAAGCACTCTCTAGTTTTAATTTAGATGCAAAATAAGACCATTTTCTATTGCTCAAATAGCAAAAAACTAGTTTGCGCTTTTTAAAAAATGTTGATATAATGAAACCAATTTATTGCACGAGGCTTATAAATGCAATCTTCTTGAATTGGAGTTACTCGATTACAATGTCTATCTAATTGTGTTGAACTTCTATAGTTGCAGTGTCCACTAATTGAGTTGTAAGTTTCCATTTGGATGTACTGCAAGTTCTGCTTTCAAAGAACTAAGAGCACTAACTTTGATGCATGGATGGTACTAAGGCAGTTGTGAACAAACTCCATCGGATGGTGAATATTCTAGTTGGCATACTCATAGCCATTATATGGCTCGTTATACTAGGAATTGCCACGACAAAGTTTCTGCTTCTAATAAGCTCCCAATGGCTGCTTGTGCTTTCCATATTTGGAAGCTCCTACAAGATGACATTTGAAGCGATTATTTTCTTGTTAGTGATGCATCCATTTGACGTAGACCATCATTGTAAAGTCAATGGGGTCCAGGTACACAAGTGAATAAAGCTCTGTGCTTTCAACAGATGTTCAAAATATATTTTTTTAAACATGATGCACTGTGTTTCAAATGGTGGTAGAAGAGATGAACATCTTAATGACTGTTTTCCTAAGATATGACAACCAGAAAGATAATAATTCCGAACATTGTTATTGCTACCAAGGCCATCAGTAACTACTATCAAAGTCATAATATGGAAGATGCAATTGAATTCTGTGTGCATATATCTAAACCAATTGAGAAGATTGCCACGATGAAATAGAGAATAACAAGAACAATGTTTGGAATTCAACTACATCTCCCATATCAGGACTTCGATAGTAGTAACTGATGGCCTTAGTAGCAAAAACCATGTTTGGAATTATCATTTTCTGGTTATCGTATCTCAGGTAAATAGTCGTTAAAATAATCATCTCTACCACCGTCATCTGAAACACACTGCATCATGGTTTAGAAACATATATTTTGAACATCCGTTGAAAGCACAAAGCTCTATTCGCTTGTGTATGTGGACCCCATCGACTTCATAACGATCGCCCACGTCAAATGGATGCATCACAAACAAGAAAATAATCGCTTCAAATGTCATCTTGAAGGAGTTTCCAAATATGAATACCACAAGTAGCAATTGGGAGCTTATGAGAAGTAGAAACATTTTCATGGCAAATCCTAGAATAAGGAGCCACATAACAGCTATGATGATGCCAACTTGAATGTTCATCATCTGATGGAGTTTGGTCACAATTGTCTCGGTATCATCAAGAGTCAAAGCTAGTGCTTTTCGTTCTCTATAAGTGTTACCCTACATTACATCCAAATACTAACTTAAATCTCAATTAGTGGACACTGCAATTACAGAAGTTGAACACATGTAAATAGACATTGTAACTACTTCATCAACGTAACTCCAATTCGAGAAGATTGCATTTATAAGCTTAGTGTAATCAATTGGTTTCATTATGTCCACATTTTTAAAGAACAACCAACTAGCTTTTTTGCTATTTGTGCTATAGAAACTAGTATCATTTTGCATCTAAACAAAAACTATAGAGTTTTGTGAGCCGACTCTGAAAATATTCATTCAGTAAGAACTTTTGCTCATGAGCACTCACAACTAGCAATAATAATTTCCCCTTTCGCATCAAGAGCATAATATGTTATCTTTACATCCATTAAACTAAGTAGATTTTTAGAGATTAATATGTTGAATTTTGGTTTGACAAGGTTGATCAACATTTGGAAAATTTCAAAATGTGACACAGTCAGGGTTCATCAGGCCAGTGAAAGAGTAGAACAAATAAATTTAAAAGATCACAATAATTAGGGTACTTGGATCCCCGCTGAGTCACATTCTGGAAAATTTCCTTCACCGTTGCTCTTGCCTCACTTTGTTTGTTTATTTGCTTTGAAGATTCATCATCATGACCAGATATCTGATCATCCACTGTTGTGAGGTTCCCATACTCACTTGCTCCTTTTGGCAGATCAAATAAATGTTGCCTTGAAATATGTAGATCTAACTCTGAAATCTGGCTATATGTTGTTGATGGAAGTATTCTCTGAATGTATACAAAGTTGTGTTAAGAAAGGCAAGTTGGACACATTGGTGTTGATAATTGAGAGGTGCAAGGTATGCCATTAACATGTTCGGTCCTGATCCTTGAAGTTCTACACTTATATATGTGCATTTCTTGGTTTGTCCTTTCCATTTGTGACTTTGTTCATGCCAATGTTCTTAGGCAATGGATCAAAATATTGCTCTTTGTCCACCGTGGAGTGTATGCAACTACATTGTTGAAATTGCGATGCAAGATGACAATAGCAAATTAGCATTTTATGCATTGGAATTTATGGTGAAATGGATTGCTAGAGGCGAGATGGCAAGGCCTCCTGTTCATCTTTCCATGGATGAAGGGCTGGTTTTATCGACACTTGGAATTGCTGGAAGAACATTTAGTTCTACTCTCCTAGATGCTTCTTGGGCAATCGTGCGACGGTCTTTACGGCAACAGAATACACCTAGTCCAGCTTCGTACATATGCTCTTCCCTAGCTGGGCAATTTACAGAGGGCCTTTAGTACGTTGCATGAGGTTGAGACTGCCTATGGAAATCTTTAGGAGCAAGCTGAAGATCTTTTCTCTCCATTTACATCTCTAAATCCATTGGTGGTTGCATGCAATTATGAGTCCAAAAGTTTTCATCCACTAGGTGTCCATGCCATGTTTGTGTTCATTGAAATCCTAGATTTAACCTAACCATTCTAAAAAAGGAAAAACCACAATCAATGTATTGAAAGTGTGCAATAAAGTAAAATCGAAATAAAAGTGCACAAACAGCAACCTAGCATCGTCTCTAAAAGAAAAAGCAATAAAAAAATCCCTATGGTAAAGCTCCAAAGGTTTATTCAATTTTGAATCAAATTTTGTTTAAGCCCAAAATGTTTCTTAAAAGCCCTAAACTAAATGAATTTTAATTTTTTTTTAGCTTTTCCCACATTTTTATATTTTCCTGAATTTTCTGAATTTTTTTATTCTTATTTTTTATTATTGAAAAAGAGACTTCGGACCGGGTCAGGGGAACCCAGTCTAAATGGCCAGTCTGACTGTGGGTCTTGCTCGGACCACAGAGGTCCAGGTTGGGTCTGATTTTCGGATCACTCTGGGCCCAATCTAAATATAGCCAACTTATCAAATTTTGTCCAGATTCAATACCAATTTCGGTCGGCCCATTGTTTATCTTTATCTGATCCATATCTCTCAATCTTATAACACTCGGCCCAGATCAATTAATCATATCCGACCTGACCTCTTTATTATACCCTTTTTTACTTTTCTATTTTATTTTTATTATTTCTTTTCTTATTTTCTGTTCTTCTTCACCGTATATCTCATGCCGGAGCTTCAGCCAGATGTTGACAACCGACATCACCATCCACCACCAGAACCATAAGATAGAATTAGATGAATATACGACACTATCAGTCTCATATATAGTGGATTTCAGCTTGGTTTAATCTTATTCAGAAAATTGGACTCTCGGCTACCTATCTACATAAGACAGAACGTAACAGAGGATAAGAGGAGAGAGTTTTACCTGGTTCGTGGCTGCGAAAAGGCGATCGACGACGAAGTTAGAAATCGTCGGACAATGTGGTGGCAATAACCACTAAGATGAATCGCCAAACTCGACGACGATCGGTGGTCAGAAAATCATGATCTCTCAGGCCGACTCGGCTCAGTGAAAGAAAATGCAAATCTGAGAATGATTTTCTCTCCTTGTGTGTATATCAGACCGGAATTTTCGACTTCAATCCCTCTTGATCGATCCAAACCGATTCCCGTACATCCTCTTCCAAAGGCCAATTTTCACCGAGGAGGAAGAGGAGTGACCTTGCCGATGATCACGTGTAAGGTGGTGGAAGCGGCAGAAGGCCGGCGGCGCCGGGACGTGAGTTTTTGAAAGAGCGATTGCCCCACGTCGTCTCCCTTCCCCTCTTTTCTCGAGTGCGTGGGCTCTCTCTGATGCGAATTGCGGGCGCCTGCTTTCTATTTTGTGAGGAGTCTCTATCCCTAAACAGATTCTGCTAGAGATAGATATCCATTCCACGACAGTCTCTATCCCAAAACAGATTGATGTTGGTCGTGATGTTGCTAATGGCCTAATTTTGAGTGCTCTCTTCATGTAGTTATGCTGATTTTGGCTCTCGGAATTTTGAAGGCTCTGATCTTCCCCCACTTCCCCTTGTTAGGCATAAACTGTACCGTAACCATTTATCTTTCCTTTTCTTTTGTATGTTTTTCGATTCCGCCTTTTTGAGTTTTGACAAAATTAGATCTGTTAAACGGATGGGTCGGGTCGAGTTTGGGTTTGGTCGCCATCTAGTCAACTAGCCATCTTGAAATGAAATAGTTGCCATTACTCGAGTGAATTTTTTTTTTAAAAAGTTTATGTCATTTAAGTGATAGTTTAAAAAGTTATAGTACCAAAATGAGCACTATATGAAAGTCATCACACTGCTAGTGTCATTTCACATTTGCCATGCTTTTCATGAGTTGTGTACGGTGAAAATCAATGTGAGAAAATGTAAATGAAATTCAGTATCTCCAAACATCGTTTTCTTTTGCTTATGATGTAGAACAGTTAGCCTGTGATTATCTTGAAGAATGTAATCGTCGTAATCGCTGGAAATCTAAGCAGTTTTTCTGATTATGCAGTTTTTTTTACTTTAGGCAATTTCGAATTATCAATATTTCGTTTGATTTTATTAAATAAGATTAGATTTGATTTTATTTTATTAGATAAGATTTGATTTGATTTCATAAGATTAGATTTGATTTGCTTTGATGTTATCTTCATTAATTCGGATATCTTTAGGAGTCCTATCATTATAAAAGGACGTCCAGCTTTGTATTCAGATAATTAAGAAATTGAATTGAATTACAGTCGAATCGTGGAAGAATTTTCCAAGTTATCGCTTCTTTCTGCGTCATTTGGTATCAGAGCAGGTTTCTCCTGTGACGATGGTGAATAACGTGAATGTCAATCTCCCTGCTACTAAGGGCCGTGAGAACGAGCCTATTACGCGGGCTGAATTCAATCAGTTCGTGGATCAAACCGATCGGAGGTTTCAAGAGATCCTTGATGCCATCCAATGTTTGTCCACAAACCATGCGCCTGGCATTCTTCCAGCCGAGCGAATTCCTGTCGTTCGTGATCCCGAAGATGCTATGAGGCGTGGAGGAATTCCCCGACAAAGGCGTCAAGACTATGTCGAGGATACGGAAGACGAAGACGATGATTTCCAGGAGATGCAGATTCGTGGTGGTTGCCGATACAGGGGATTCCAGGAGGAGCATGTTCGTGGGAATCGACTTCGGGAAGGATATCGACGAGATCCTGAGCAGTATCAACTAAAGGTTAATCTCCCTACTTTCAATGGGAATTTGGATATTGAAGATTTCCTTGATTGGCTTTGGGAGGTCGAAAAATTCTTCGACGCTATGGATATTGACGAGGATCGCCAAGTGAAACTTGTGGCGTACAAGTTGAAGGGTGGCGCTTCAGCTTGGGGGGAACAGACTCAATTGACACGACGTCGACAAGGCAAGGCTCCTATTCGATCATGGGGTTAGATGAAACATAAGTTGAAGAAGAGGTTCCTCCTAACGGACTATGAGCAATTGTTGTTTCAGCAATTCCAGAATTGCCGACAATTGAATAGATCGGTCCAAGCTTATACGGAAGAGTTCCTTCGACTCTCCGCTCGCAATAACCTGAATGAGTCCGATGCACAACAAACTGCTAGGTACATTAATGGTTTGCGACTTAATATCCAGGATCGGGTTTCTTTGCATCGACTATTCTCTGTCGAAGACGCCCACGATATGTCACAAAAAATTGAGGTGCAATTGGAGAGGACTAGCCTTAGTACTCGTGGTAGCAATTATTCGGGTCGTGGGTCATTCGAGAAAGGAAGACAGCCTGATGTTGCAAGTTCTTCTAGTCAACAAACACCTTATTCGAGCCGAGTTCCAGGGGGTACTACTGGGATGCCTAAGGAAGCAGTCGTAGCAAGCAATCGCACTACCAATCAGAATACCTAGAATCCATATGCCAAGCCCCAACCGATCAAGTGCTACAAGTGTAACAAGTTGGGCCATCGTTCTAGCAATTGTCCTCATCGTAGAATGGCCAATATCGTTGAACATGACGAAGATGTGTATAAGGAAGATTGGGAAAATGAAGAAGAAGTGGGAGTGGAAGATGAAGTGGGCGAGCAAGTTAATTGTGTAGTGCGTCGTCTATTGCTTACCCCACGGATAGAAGATACCCAGCGGAATCAGCTTTTCCGCGCTCGCTGTACTGTCAACGGCAAAGTATGCGATATCATTATTGACAGCAGAAGTTGCGAGAACATAGTGTCAAAGGCCTTGGTGGATCACTTGCAACTAAACACGGAGCCGCATCCCACGCCCTACACAATCGGGTGGATACGCAAGGGAGCAGAACTTAAGGTAAACCAATTATGCTGTTTACCTATTTTGATCGGAAAATCATATCAAAATACTATTGTCTATGATGTTGTGGAGATGGATGCGTGTCATGTTTTACTGGGTCGGCCATGGCAATATGATGTTGATGCTACACACCGAGCTAGGGAGAATACGTATTCTTTTGTGTGGAAAAGGACTAAAATTACTTTGAGACCGAAGAGTAATTCCCCTCAGATTGTGAAGAAGCAGAATGCAGGGGTTATGATGAACATCCGAAAGCATGAAGGGATGTATATGATTGTGGACAAGGGCGACCAGCAAGTTGTGGTTCGTGTTCCCGACATTCTTAAGCCCTTATTAAAGGTATTCAGTGATGTTATGCCTAAGGATTTACCTGACGAATTACCTCCTTTGAGGGATATCCAGCATGAGATTGATTTTCTTCCATGTGCTAGTCTTCCTAATTTGCCGCATTATCAGATGAATCCGAAGGATAATCAGATTCTACAGGAGCAGGTGGGAGATCTCCTTCGAAAGGGCTTCTTGCGTGAAAGCAAAAGTCCATGTGCAGTTCCTGCGCTTCTCACGCTAAAGAAAAATGACACCATGCTTATGTGTGTAGACAGTCGTGCCATTAACTGGATTACTGTCAAGTATAGGTTTCCGATTCCACGACTTGATGATATGCTAGACAGACTTGCTGGATCACAGATTTTTACGAAGATCGACCTTCGAAGCGGATACCACCAAGTTCGCATCCGTCCTGGCGACGAATGGAAAACGGCCTTCAAGACAAGTGCGGGTTTGTACGAATGGCTTGTCATGCCGTTTGGACTCACTAACGCGCCTAGTACTTTCATGCGTTTGATGACTCAGGTTCTCAAACCTTTTATTGGCAAGTTTATGGTAGTTTTCTTTGATGATATACTCATATATAGTCCGGATGGGCGTCAACACATGGAGCACTTGAGGGATGTCCTACTAACCTTGCAGCAAAATAAATTGTTTATTAATCTGAAAAAGTGCAGCTTCATGACAGAACGCCTCTTATTTTTGGGTTTTATTGTTGACGCAGATGGACTTCACGTTGATGCAGATAAGGTGGCCGTGATTCACAATTGGCCAGTTCCAAAGAATGTTGGCGAGGCTCGAAGTTTACATGGTCTTGTAACATTCTATAGGTGTTTCATTCAAGATTTCAGTACTATTATGGTCCCGATCACTGACTATTTAAAGAAGGGCAAATTTCATTGGGGAGAAGAAGCTTGGACCAGTTTTGCTCTTATAAAAGAAAAACTCTCCACGGCACCGGTATTGATGCTCTCTGATTTTGAGAAAGTGTTCAAGCTGGATTGTGATGCTTCCGGCGTCGGGATTGGCGCTGTCTTTCCCAAGAAGG